GAAAATTCCATGTCAAATGGAAGAGTAAGAACATAGCCCTAGGTGCATTCTTTTACCATATTCCTATTGGGCAGATCGAGGTTAGGTTCAGGTCAGCAAACCTTGTTGAAAAAATGAGTGAAGGCACAAGAGCCAGGGAATGCCTTTGCTGGGTGACTTCAAAGGAGTGGAGTGGAACCCCTGAACTGACTCAAATCTCCTATTTATTGAGGGGCACAAGGCATAGATTTCTGCTGAGTGCAGATGTTTGTTTTATATAGTAGGCATTCTGATAGTTTGGTGGAATAATTACCTTTTATCTGAATGCTCCCAGGGGAGCTTCCTTCTTTTCCTTGTGAGGTCCATCTCTGCACCAGTTGACAAATCACCTGGTGTCAAGACATTTCACGCTTCAGACTCAGCCTCCTGAGTTGGCCTAAGCAGATGCAGACAGTTGGGTGTCACAAAGAACTCCACTTATTTGTTCATGAGTATGAAAAGTGCAGTACCTACACGCCATATTTTTACCCTTTCTTTGAGACAGTCTCGCTGTGCAGTTCAGGCATAACTTGATCTCACTTTGTAGCCCAGGCTGGTCTCAAACTCCCAACAATCCTCCTGCCTCAGCCTCCCTAATGCTGGGATTACAGGCATGTGCCACCACGGCCTACATACTGTATTTTTATCTGGTGTATTTTTACATAATATGTAGGGCAGGAAGTACAACTTTAAATGTTCTATGACAGAGAAGCCAGTGATAATTTGGAACATATGTACGTGTAATAGATGTCAATGTTAAATTAATTGTAAAAAAGTGGGCATGTAAGGGTGAAAGGACTTAATGAGAATTGTATTTTTTGGTTAAACTTCAGTTTTTAAATAACTGGGCAAAACTCTTGCTTTTCTCAACTCAGGAATTTAACTTTTCTCATTGTCAAAAATGTTTCATCTATGTTTCACAGATAAATACCATTGTGACAATATATGACTTTCTCTTTTTTCATTCTAACTTTAATCTCAATAGACAAGAGCTGGATATCAGGCTTTTCACCTGGTAAGCTTTGAAAACATTTAAAAAGTTACTATTTGTCAGGATTGTTGTAATTGTCAATGCCTTAATGAAAAATTCTATTTTCCAGTCTTATAACATAAATCCCTTAATTCTATAATTCTTAATATATGCTAAATATTCCATTAGTGGAAGTAAAGTTTAAATTTTGATATGATTAAATAACTTTCATGACAGTTATGGTAGTCTTTTTTCTCTTTATACCTTTTTTCATTTTGTACCCTTCAAGTTTGTTGGAAACTTCTGTCATCTTTCAACTTAATTCTTAAGACTTTTCAAACCCAAAACCATGTATATTTACAAGTGTTCATAGATATTGCAAATTACATATTCTCATATCTTAGCAAACATTCCATTTAACACATTTGTTTAAGTACATAATATATATATGAAAAAAATTACAAAGGAAAGGAACTCTGGATGTGAATGAAATATTTAGTTCTTCCATTTCTTGTATTTTTCTTTCATGCATTCTTGTATGATTGATTTGCTCACTGATTTCTAAGTTCTAATACAAAATATACAAGGAAACCTATAGATTCCTCAGTGCTGTCAGCTGAATCTGACCCCTCAGAGATGACATTGAGATTACAGAGCATCTACCTCACATGTGATTATGAAAATGTTGAGTCAACTGTAGCTCTAACTCATGAAATATATCTAGTCAAATTCTAAGAAGAAATACAAAGACACCTCAGTTCAGTAGGATAATAAAGTATGTATATGCAAAAGATAATGGGTTACAGAAGAAGAAATAATTCATGTTTATACTGACTACAACTTTTCATAGCAGGAAAGCTGTTATGGAATAAAAATTTAAAACACATACAAATTTGGGGTCCTCTTATCCTCTTATTATTCTTGTAAATATTTTGGGGAGTGTCTTCATTGCTTCTCCACCTGAAATTGTCTATGCATTTATGCTTCTCATCTTATATTACTGGGATAGTCAGGGGCTTCTTATGTTCTTTTGGCTCCTTAACAAGAGGAGTCAGCTTTCTCCTGCCTACCTGTCTTCCAAATGTCTACCTTCCTGTGTGTATCAATATATCATGCTACTCTTTGAATCTCCAGATGCGGGATTACTATGTACCAGGCACTATTCCATAAGCTAAGAATAAACCATAGAACAAAATAAATACCCAACTCCTAAAGAAATGCCTTCAGTAAAACAAGATACACACTAAAAGAGCAAACCAATAAATAAAAATATGTTTGGTAATGATAAGAATGCTATTTGGTAAGGAGTAAAGAACAGGATAAGAGAATAATTTGTATAAAATAGACAAAGTTTCTGTAAGAAGATATTTTCACTAAAACACAACTACAGCAAGCAAATAGTCTAGACAGATATTAAAAGGTATGTAAAGAATCTTAGACTTAAAAGGAGCATTTGATTTGCATAGAGATAATCAGTTCTGTTTTATTAGAAGTAGATGGGAAGAGTGGAGGGGTATGATACAGAAGAAGTCCAGGGGTTGTGAGGAGATGATGAAGGCCGTGGCAATGAGGATTTTTTTCTTTTGTTTTCTTTTCATTTTCCTTTTCCCTTCCATTACCAAGGACTGAGCCACTGAACCCAGGCTAATCACACTAAGCAACATCCTCAGGCCTTCCTTCTCTCTCTCTCTCTCTCTCTCTCTCTCTCTCTCTCTCTCTCTCTCTCTCTAACTTTCTCTCTCACTCTTCCTCCCTTCCTCCTCCCTCCCTCCCTTCCTTCCTCCCTCCCTTCCTTCCTTCCTTCCTCCCTCCCTTCCTTCCTTCCTTCCTTCCTTCCTTCCTTCCTTCCTCCCTTTCTTCCTTCCTTCCTTCCTCCCTTCCTCCCTCCCTTCCTTCCTACCTTCCTTCCTTCCTTCCTTCCTTCCTTCCTTCCTTTCTTCCTTCCTTCCTTCCTCCCTCTTTATTTTTGACAGTCTCACAAATTTTCCAAGGCTGGGCTCAGATTTGTGATATTCCTGTCCAAGCCTTCCAGACTGCTGAAATTACAGGCATAGGCTAACATGACCAGTAAGATCAGAAGTTATTAGTATGTCAGGATGAAGTTAGCAGAAATGTTCTTATTTGCTTTTTTAAAAGTAAGACTACCCTCCAAGTGGAGCAAAGACTTGGGGAAAGGAAAGGAAGTACAAGAGTAAAAATGAAAATTAGGCAAAATGATGAGGAGGCGATCACAATATTTTATCATGGAATTAACAATACTTTGAATATGAATAAGTGAAACTAACTGCTTTCTCATTAGAGAAGACTGTAACACAACTGTGTTCAGTAAACACATAGTAAATGTTTTCTAAAATTTGTCATTTGTACATCACATCATGATTGTTTCTTTCTGCTTGGGTGAAGAAACGAAGCAGACGGTTAGTACTTGAAGGAGAAAACTGGACTCAATATGTAATACTTAATATTATGAAGAATAGTGTTTATTTTTGTTGATTTTCTGATTCAAGAATAAACCTTTATCTTATGCATTTTACAAAAATATCAATTTCTTGCTTTCATGTACAGCCAGCAGGGAGGGGTGCTAGGAGATTAAGAAAAAACTATAGACATATACTAAAAAGAAAGCTGGGATGGGTAGGACCTGACCTCTGACGGAGAGGCAGCTGGCAACTAACACAATCTGCCTCTCTTTGTACATGGTAAAAAGGGAGAATTGTGTGATGTAATCAAAAGTGCAAGTCTCAGAGTTTTACTGAGAAAGACACCTGCTGGACTAGCATTGCTGTAGTCCCAACATCTCATGTACGTGACTTGCCACTGGAGAGCTGTGTTCTCAGGGCTGGCCTCGCTGTTGCTCTGAGTACGCAGTCCATCCAGCTCAGCTGCTCCTCACAGACAAGGATATGGCATCTTTGCTCTGTTTCAAACAGTGGTTTCACCAGATTAACCATCATTGAGATTGGGGCTATTTGGAGTCTTTGCACTAACAGATTGATGAACTCAGAATATATTTCATTTGAAATCAAATACCAAAACTTTCTAATAAATGGCTTTACTATACTAATTGCATTTTCTTTATTTCCATAGTCTGTCACTGTGTCAGAGGGGAAATTATGTTGATCTTAAAGGATTTGTTCTTCAAATAGTCATGTAGGTCACAACACAAAAGCTTACTTAGTTGGTGTCAAATTTGTTATTTAATGATTTGTCCCCTGTGTCTTTCAGGTGGCTATATTTAAAATCATTGGTCTATAATTACTACCCTTTATGCATATGCATGCACATGTAGTATATTTCATTTATAGTCTTCAGACACATTTTTCATTCAAATGTTCAAAAAGCACTGTTATTTAAAGACCCTATGATAGCATACAGTAATTCTTCAAATATCCTTAAGCCCATTTATAAAATGAGAGCTTGAAAAATAATCGAATGGGTTTGTAGTTGACATTTGGAAAACTACTTGGTATCTCAGGAAGAATAATTGGATGCTCAGGCATTTTTAACACTTTACATATTTTGAGTGACCTTATTCTCAAAATACCCTTGGTATAGTTGAAATGCCTTTAATGTTTCTTTCCATTGTCTCCTCCTTTGAGACTTTGTAAAGCTGATTATCTTCAGGAATCTTTTTTATATTTAGAGAGCTCAGATACAAGTACAATGATGAGGTGAAAATTGTCATCCATAATAATATGATGTGATATCACAGTTGTAATTTTATAAGGGACAAGGATTTATTGAGTTCAAATGCAGAAAATAATAAAGAATATTATGGGTTTTGCCACAGATATTTCAAAAAATAACTTAAAAATTCTTTCAACTACAACAGAGATTCTTTCATGTTATTTTAATACCTTTCTTACCATTTAAATTAGTAAATTATATCAGTGAATACTGATACTCTGCAATACCCAGAATAACTCCAAAAATACTGATTTTATGTTACATATGCATATATTGATACCTTTTATAGTGTGTGGATGTGTTTTTTTCTCTGTTTAATCCATAGAAAATGATACCATCTATTGGACTGACATGGGTTTCAATAAAATTAGTCGAGCTAAAAGAGATCAGACTTGGAAAGAAGATATCATTACCAATGGCTTGGGAAGAGTGGAAGGGATAGCCATTGACTGGATTGCTGGTATAATCTATAACTTTTTTTCCACATTATTTTTGCGAGGGTCTTAGCCTGCTCCATGAAATTTAATATTTCCACTGATTTATTTATTAGTACATGTTTATAATACATTCTGTGTGTGAAGGTAATAGTGTATATAACAACTTAATTCATTTTTTCAGCCCCTTCCCTCCATCCCCTTCACCTGTCTTTGAATCTCTTTCCCCTGTTTTATACATGATTGCGGTGTATTTCATTTACATTCCTTATGTAAGATTGAAAACTGTACATAACACAGGGAGAGGAGATGAAAAATGCTCCATAAAAAATCTGTTTCTTCTAACATTTTCTTTTTATTTATAGACAGGCATTTTTGTTTGTTTGTTTTATTTTTCAGATCTACTTTTTCTAATTCTTTGGAGCTTTTACATCAGCATTTCTATGTAGAAGCAGATTATATTGTACTAACTTTGCCTAAATCTCCTGAGAGTTCCAAAAGGCAAATACATAGAAATGTAACAAATTCTCTTTTGGCTGAAGTCTGTAGAAGTTTAAAATATACACCTTTGATGGATAAGTGTTGACTAATTTTCAGCATGTAGTTTTGTAACTGTATGATTTTGACCCAAGTTATATGAAATTAATATTGGAAAACTGTGCATGCTACTTTTTATTATAGCTTTATGCTTAAGATATAGATATAAATAGATATATATTATAAAATACTGTGAGAAATAAAAAAATTCTTAATGATTATATATCATTGATTGCAAATTAAATCTTAGCCATAACTAATGATTCTTGTAATAGTATTATAATCATTTCTTTATTTCTCTTAGGGAACATATATTGGACTGATCATGGTTTCAACTTAATTGAAGTTGCAAGACTCAATGGCTCTTTCCGTTATGTCGTTATGTCCCAAGGCCTGGACCAGCCAAGATCTATAGCTGTGCACCCAGAGAAAGGGTAATTTAAGATCCATTTGTCTTCTGAGTCTTAAGTGTATTTTCTTCAATTTTGGTGGAAAAAAAAACAATATTAATGTTTATTTTTAGTTTTAATGGTTGATACAAAATTCAGAAATATCTTAACCAGAAAATGTTTTCATTTTGTTCATGTAGATTTTAGTACATATTTAAAGAGGACATAGTTTTATGCAGATATTTTATGTGTGTGTAAATCTTAAAATAATAACATCTCAATTTACAATTTTGGTTCTCAGTTTATTATTCTGCCAAAAAACTGTTTACATAATGAGGTATTCAATTATTTGTTAAATGAGCAGAATAGTCACTTTCCAGCCCATTTTTTTCTCCAGTTTCTCTAAATCTTTAATTTGCATTTTTGTGCATATAATTATTAGATCAACATGTTCATAGAAGCCAAGAATCTCTTTTCCTCTTTTTTGAGTTACATATGTCTACTATATTAATCTTTCTATTTGGAAATTTCATGAGGACATAACTGCAGATAAATAATATTTTAATGCATTTAGCCTACTATCACATTTTTGATTTTTCTCTTTTAAATTATTCAGCCAGCACCCCATGCCTAAACTGGCTCCATCTTAAATTACTGGTGTTACCTTTTGCATTAGAAGTAACTTCTTATCTGAAATTCTCCAAAAGGTCTAATTGTGTCTTTTATAAATCTTGTTACTTAAAGCTTTTAAAGGAATTGTTGTTATCTTTTGTGTAAAGTTCAAAATCTCTATTTCGATTCTTCCCAATCATGTCATGTTTAAATGCGGTGTCTCAAACTCTTCTTAACCTTTTAATCAATCTTTGCAGCACTTCTCTTAATTTTTCAAGTATTTTGCTGCATCCCACATAGCTCTTAATGTGCCCAGTGTGGGGATAGTGAGAGGATGAAGAAAAAGGAACAGTTAGCATAGAGAAAACTGAGTTCCTGTGGAATTGTATCTCCTGATGGTAAGTGAAAGATGCAGGAGGAGAAGGAGCAAGAGGAAGAAGCAGGAGAGCTCTAAGGGAGGCCACACATTTGTTTATACACTTGGGAGATTATCACGTGGAAGCTCTCGGCCTAAGAGTTTACCCATGCAGCTTGGCTGGGGCACCCAGTCTTCTTGAGATTAGAACAGTTTATCCATGTGACGTGCCTCAGGTACCCAATTTTGAGATTAGCCTTGCTCTGGCCCCACATGTGATCAATCTTCAGTTTCAGCTGCTCCCCACATCTCCCTCTTCTCTGTTTTATACTCAAAAATGATGGGTATTTGGTACCAGGGATAAAACTCATGACTTCACACTTGCTAGACAGGTGCTTATGCCACTGAGCTAAATCCCTGGCTCTAAATCAGGGATTTTAAGTCCCTGCATTTAGTAATTTAACCTTGACCCATAACAGTAGCCAGTTACTAGTGCCGCTGGCAATTCTGAGAAAGTGTTAGTGATTTAAACTTCTTTTAGCTAGTATTTATTATGGCATGGTTTTATAGGTCTTGTAGTATATTTTTCTGCAAGATATTCAAGACCAAGTTAAGGCAAGACCTGCGTTAATTACAGTCAATCTCTTGTTGCCTATCTAGTTCAGTCAGGTCTCCTCAGGAATTACCTTGGAACCATATAAAGGACCTCTTAGTGTTTCTGTCAGTGTCAGCCCTCTGGATTAGTCATCGCCAGTGCTTGATCAAGTTGCTTTCTATGAAAGCTTGGGAGATTTTTCTCTCTTGGTGAAAGTCCTTAGGCACACTATACACTGTAGGTCTTTACCCTCTGTGGTCCTACAATCTCCTTGCTCAGTTTGTGGTATTCACCAGGTTTCAGGATGTTACTGAAAAGGTTCCCTCATGTCCTATGTCCTTATTGGTCATTGACAAAATATTGGCCGTCCTCTTAGCCCTTCTATCTTTCTAGTTTCTTCTCTCCATACTTAAGTTTTGAACACCCATAAGAGCAACTTAATGACTAAAAATTTTGTAATAAGGTTAATATTACTTTTTTTCTGAATCTCAAGCACCTTTGAACAAAAATAAAATCATTTTGTAACAACTATGGATAATCTAAAAGTTGAATCTCTGTAGAATGCTAAAAGGCAATAGTTATATAATTTTATACAGCAAATTTAAAATTGAAATTATATATAAAATTGTAGCATGACAATAATGGTGACTTTTTTGTGACATAATCAAATTTCCATTTTGACATAGTAGAGGTCTTTGAATCAGTCCTCTGTATCTAATACATAAGAAACTTTTACCTAACTCATTGACTTTTAATGGAATGTCACTGAAGAAATTTGTGACAATATTTAGCCTGCTTAATGTTTAGGCACCTTTAAGTATACAAATGCATATACAATATATAAATCATAATAATCAAATATTTTTTTCCATTATTACTGGCTGTTGAACTCATTTTGGCTTTGTACGAACCTCCTATCACAATTAGCTGGAACACAAAAGAAAGGCTAATCTCTGAATATAAAAGATATCGATTACCACAAGCAATCCCAATTTTACATTGTAAAAGACCTGCACATCTGAAATCATGAATAAATTTAAAATACCATGAGATTAATAACTATCAATGGTCATAGCTATATGAAAACCTTTGTAACAGAGCATCTTTAAATTACACCCTTATGATCTAGAAAATTTAATCATTTGACAATGATCAATATGAACATACTACAATAATATATTTAATAACAATTATTGGGGTATCTCCCATAAGGCTATTGAGATTGTGGGGCCTCCCATTAATGAACAAGAACTAATTAACATTACAAGGTGGCTTCTTTATTATTCATCAGTTGGAGTCCTTTGTAATATTAGCCTCCCAACCCAAGAAATTTTTAACTTTCTTAACATTTTATGACTTATGAGAACCCAATCATAACACTTAAGACATTATGTTTGGAAAACAAGAGACTCTCAAGTCATAATAAACAGCACTATATATTACATTTATATAACCAATTTTAGTATCATTTTGGCCAGTTGGTGACCTAGGTGGAAGCAAGCTTTTGAAATCTATAATCTAAAGTAAACTTCGATCAAATGATCCAAAAATACAAAATAAAAAAGAAAAGAAAAGAAAAATAAATAAATAATTTTAAAAGGCCCTCACAAATAGGACAAATGAATAAATATATACAGACAATCTATTTTCCAAATTTGAGTGCATTCAAATATATCTTTGGACAAATTAAATCATAAAAACTCTTAGAAATTTCTATTGTAAATAGACTATTCAGAATTTTTGTAGGTCAATTAGCAGAGCTCTCCTACAAGAAAATTTGGATCAAAATCTTTTATATATAAATAATACATAATTTTGTATTTTATGTTGTCTAAAGAGTACTGGTAAATTTTGTGTCTCTTTCTTTTATGTAACCTCTATATATTTTGTCACCTACTCATATCTTCTTTCCTATTTTTGGTTACCATGTCTTAGGCCTCCTGGGTCAATTTTTTTTTATTGACCTCAGGTCTGGTCCCCAACTTTTTCTGCCATGTGTGGAATGGTCTCTGAGGCATCACTGCCACAGGACTGAGCATCAACTTCTTGAGAGGTGGAATCTACTTCTTCACTGGGTTTGTGTTCACAACACAGTCAGATAGCATGCTCTGGCATACAGATAGGCTGTGCAGCATTTTCTGGAAAGAAACAAAAATTCTTGACCCCAAATTAACCCTGGGTTATGTCTCTTCCATTGTCCAGTATGAATATCTTTCCAAAGGACCCTTCCTAACTTCTTTTCCTTTACCTGATCGAATTCTCTAATCTGATACCATAGTCCCATCCTTAGTAGGATTTAAAAAGTTAACTATATATTGTCAAGTGAAGTCTGTTAGGAGGTACGACATTTGTAGAGCAGAACTCCCCTTTATGTTTTCATATTTGAATTTTGAGTGTACAGTGAGCTTGTTCAACAATTCCTTGAGAAATTCCCATAGGAAGGGAAATGTGAAAAGTTTTACAAAATATTTAGAAGGCAGCACTTAGATAAACTGGGCCATGGTCAATCTTTAGTGTCTATGGACAGCCAAGGATACAAAAGGCTTCCAAACAATGAGTGATGACACATTTAGCCACTTCATCAGTGCAGGCAGAAGCAAAAATAAATCCTGAGGAAGTATCCACTGAAACATGAAATCAGTGTAGAGAGCCAAACTCAGGAATATGAAGGACATCCATTTTAGAGATGATTGAGGTGTAATTCTCAGGGATTAACCATCATAGGAAATAAAGCAAGGTATATTGCACATGAAGAACATTGCTTAACAATTTTTGTTGATTTTGTTTTTGATATGAAAGGAACTGTTTGCACAATGCAGAAGCATTAAGATGGAAACTGGCAAGGGAGGCAGGCGCCTGTTGAATGGTATCTAAGGGAGCACAGTAGCAGTAGCTGCCAAACTGTCTATAGTAGCATTTCCCTTTGTAAGAGAGCCTGGAAATTTGGAATGAGACATAAATGGCTGATAAAACAGGGGACCAAATAGCAATTTGGAGATTATTAAACAAATGAAAAAGATCTTCCTGGTTAGTGTAAATGGTGGCAGTTTCCATATGGTGCATCACACCACAAACATAAGCCCTATCTGAAGAAAGGTTAATTGGAGTGGGAGAATGATCTTGTAAGGTCCACCTAATAGTCTGCAATTCAATCTTTTGTGCAAAGGAAAAACCTGTACCCTATATTTGGGGAGAAGAGGCTGTAACTTATCCTCTGAAAACTTAAGCTATAAATCCAGCTTATTTTTGAAGGAAAGACAAAGGGAGTGAGAGAAGCAAATTGAGTTAATTTGTCTGGAGGATAATGATAGTATCACCGAGAAAGTTAGCTAATGCAGTTTGTCAAGAGGACAAGAATTGACATAACCACTATTGTAGAGAAAAAGAAAAGGAACCAGTGATACTTTGCCCTCATATCCAAAGCGCTGAATAGCACTTGTTGGACTATGTGCAATCAGTCCTACCACACTATCAGAGTGTATC